TAAGGTTAAATGCCTATATAATGAGCACTCACATCAGAAAAAAAAAAACAAAAAAAAAAACATTACCAGCTGAGACCAGCAGTTAGCATAATGGCTATGTCGCTGGACTCCCACGTAGTCAACCGCAGTTGGAGTCCCGGACCCGGTGGCTTAAACTCATGCCGGGCACGTGTGAGTGCGTGCCCAAGATCCTGAGAGGAGAAAGGAGAAGAAGGGATTGCGACATGGCCATCCCCCTGGGGGGTGATTTCTCGCTTTCTGTCCCTCTGTCTCTCTGGGGAGCGCACGTGCCCTGTAGCAAAAACTTTTCAAAAAAAAAAAAAAAAAAAAAGTTACCAGCTTCCCAGAAAGCTCCTTGTATTTTCTTTCAATCCTTTCTCTTCTAAGACTATTATCCTGTCTCCTGACAGCCTCCATTAGTTTCACCTGTTCTGAACACACGTATTTTCTAAACGTGTAGATACGACCACGTACTCACTTCCGTCTGACTTCACTCTCTGAACAGTAGTTTTCCCCGTGCTAGTGCACATAGCAAGCAGCTCATTCTCGTTGCCGTAAAGCACACTATTATGTAAAGAAGGCACAATTTACTTTTCATTTCTGCTATTAATGGGCATCTGAGTTGTTTTCAGTTCGAGGCTATGAGTGTTAGTGCTGTTATGAAAATTGTTGTGTGTGCACTTCTGTTAAGTATATACAGGAAACGAAACTGATGGATCATAGAGTTCAGTTTTAGTATTTCTCAAAGTCCCAATTTCCACTCCTTTCAGCAGTGTATGTGTTATAACTTCCATATCTTCTCAAATACATAAAAAAAAGCTATTTCTGTCTCTTTTACTTTAGCCATTTGGGTAGGTATGGAATGCTATCACATTGTGAGTTTGAGTTATATTTTCTCATTGATTATTTGAGGTAAGCTTCCTTCCTTTGGTTTAATAGCCATTTGGAGGGGCCAGCAGGTGGTGCAGTAGTTAAGGTGATGAATTCCCATATGGCCAACTATGGTTCAAGTCCTGGACCTGGTGGCTTACTTTCTCTTTTCTCTCTTTCTCTCTCTCTCTCTCTGATGAATGCACATGCCCTATAGAAAATTTAAATAATAATAAATAAAATAATTTTAAGGGATATTTTAGTTATAGGGCATGTGCACTCACTGGAGTGACAGAGAGAGATAGAAAATGAGAAATCA